CCACCTCGGCTTCCTCATCAGATTTCAACCTCCACAAGCCTCGTAGGTTTGGTTCCTCAACCACCTCGGCTTCCTCATCACAATTCAGCCATCGAGTCTGTGGGTTCGGTTCCCACCCACCTCGACTTCCTCATCAGAATTCAGCCTCCACAAGCCTCGCAAGTTTGGTTCTCAAGCCACCTCAGCTTCATCATTTTCATCATTCTTCCACAATAGCACATTTCTAACTCCAACCATGATATAAATATCTATACTTGGACTTGGGGGACTATTATTTGGGGTATAAAAATTGCGAAAATTTCTTTCAACTTAACTGGCTGGCTTTACTTCATCAAAGTTCTCGCATTACATAAATGACTGTACTTGGATTTGGGGGACTATTGTTACGTGTTTGCACACTTGGACAACCTACTGGGGCCCACAACCAACTCAAGCTGAACCACGTGGCACTGAAGCTGAGGTGATTTGCATAGCCGAGGCCCACAAACTGAGGTCTACAGAAGCCTAGGCCCATATATACCGAGGCCCATCTATCATTGCCTTTTGAGGAGCTTTCGAAGCCCACATGCCAAGGCCCTTTGAAGGTAGAGGAGGCCCTATAGCTGATGTAGCAGCCTCCGAATCACAAAGCAGCATCTTCCATAGACACTTCTCCTAAGAGATCCTTTGCACAAAGATCTTACTTGAATGATTGATAGGATATTTGTCATGAGAGTAAATGTTAAGTTTTGTCACTAGTAGAGGTGGCTCTGCCAATCAATAAATGTATAGCAGGCTAGGTACGGCTGATGCCTACAATTTGACATGTAAATTAACCGGATGAGGCCACGTGTACCTCGAACCAAAGGTCACGATCTAACTTGTGACACTATAAATACTCCCACATGTACTCCATACAAAGGCTAATGCAAGAATCAATACAAGAAACAACACTTTACTCAATTCTCTCTTATTATCTGACAACACAATACGAGTTTACACATTTTTACATACATATTTACAAACATCGATTGGTAATTATTATACAATCGGTCTATGAACATCTCGCCGGATTTTGATCGTTCTCGTCCCGCGCCGTGGAGCTATTCCCACACCCTTGATCTGTCCGTTTTAAACCGTCCACGTATCTTAGCATGTTGGACTTTCACTTACGTTGGTGCGGGTGGGTCCAACATCTGTTGACAACATTTTCTGGGATCAACAAGTATAAAGGGTATAATGGTATTTACATTATCGAACATAAAAGCCACAAACCTATTTGATAGTGCTTATAAGTAATGTATCCTAAACATACATAATAAATGAGTAGTAAGTTGACGGTTTTAAATAATGTGGATAAAAATTATGCTTAATCAACTTAGAATAAAAATTCAAGTTTCACTAAACATGTACCCCTATTGCTTATCTAAAATTTGATTAAAAATAAGTTGCCTTATTTTAGTCAAACATGTTCAGGTGGATTTGGTGCTTATAGGCTGGTTTGACTATCTTAGAATGGTTAGCTTATTATAGTTCCTATGCATGGCTTGATCAGCTTTAACAGATCGATAAACCAAGAACATGAATAACAAAAAAAAAGGATAAGGTGTCCCTTATGTTTTAAAGATTTCATATATGAAAACGGGGGAGTAGAAATTAAATTGAGAAAGATTCAAATGACACTTTCAAAAACTTTGATAAGGGCTAATCTTTTTAACATTTGATAATTTTCTTGAAAAGTACATTGTATCACTTACATGCATAGCTTTTAAAATTTTATTTAGTGTTAAGCTAGTAGGAATGTAAATGTGTAACATCGCTACACAACATATTTCCTTCATGATCATATTTAGGGTCGTCATCACCACTCATTATAATAGTATTGCATTTATAACATTAAATCTTTAAGCTTCGCCTCCAATCGTAACATACCTTGTACACTCACCGTCCCCATTACCATATTTAACATATATTGTTACATTGTCACTACTGCCACTGCAGTCCAAAATCACTTGTAACATATCTTGTTACACTGTGATTAAAATAGTACCATTGTCACAGTCAATGATAACATACCGTGTTGTAACAATAATCTCATTCTTACGATCTTCTATGCTACCATCGTGCTCCATCATCATCATCATCACCACCACCACCACCACCATCACCACAATTTCAAATGAAAATTACTCTATTTCAAGAAAGCGTGCTAAAATTTATTTGTCGTTTAAGAGTTGGAAATTGAGTACAAGATTGTTTTGATATGTAAATTGACATAAATGTCTGTAGAATCTCCAATCCAAGCGACACATGGCCCACACATTGATGTAGGTCAATATTAATGCCAATTTTATTCAGAACATTAATCGTATGTTCCCTGCCTCCCTCCCCCGTACTATTTTGTGACTTGAATGGTGAAATTAGTACACCAAAATTTCTAGATAGCAAATGGGTAAAGTTCGCAATTTAAAAGGAAAAAAAAAAAAAAAAAGAAGGAAAGAAAAAAATGGTGGGAGGTGACTCCTCCTTTATTAACGTTCGAAGACGATTTAATAGTGGTTACATATAGTTGTATACGAGCAGTTGTGGTGAGGAGTGGCAGGTGAAATAATGCTGTTGGAGTGAGCGAGGGTGGAGATGTGGGTGCAATGGTGCTAAGGAAGCAGATGATGGTTTACTGCTGGTCTTTGTTCTGTTAATTCTATATGCTGCGGAATAGCTACTATTACAAGTGCACTATTTCTAACACACTGGAAGATATTGTGAGAGAGGTAGGCATGGTGCACTTGTGTACCAGGTCAAATATAAATTTCCCATGTAGAAAATCCTAATTCTTTATCTACGATGACCAATAATCTGTCTATTAAGCAAATGTAACCATTCAATTACGGGAATTATTGTATGATACAAGTAGAAAGGTATTGTTAAGTCAATAACACTTAGGCCAATGTCATTTTTAGAATTATTTTCCCCTCGAAATTAGCGCCAGTTTTAGGTTGGCCTTTATTTAGCCTTGTACCTTCCACAGTAGACACGTGTTAGTTTCTCTTCGTATTACTGGTCTGGTTATTTATCTATCTTTGTTTCGATTACAATCTCATATAAATAAATGTTCAGGGAGCTCTTACACACGAAAGAGAGACAAAATGAAACTTGCGAGCAGTTGCATGCAGTTCTCGGTGAATCATGTATCAGTTGTGAACTTCAGTTAGCAGGCCCTCAATACGATAATCTTCTGTGTATATCTTCTATGTCTTCCGTTGTTGCTGAAGAGTTATTTAGATGCACACTCTCGGATAAGGAAATTCGCTCACAGGCTCTTAGCCCAGATGTCAGAGAGTTGAAGAAGGCTAGTGTGATTACAGACAATTCATTGAGTCCATCTCATACGTTGCTTCAGATCAACTGTATAGATCACAAGGGTTTTCTTTATGACATCATGAGGACTCTGAAAGACTGCAACATTCAGGTTTTAATTACTATTTCTCCCATGCCTATGTTTGATTTTGTTAATGTAACAGTTCTGGTAAACACTAATTTTCTTTTGTTGGCTTCTTTTACTAGCATGTTTTATAAGCGACCTTTTTACGGACACGTTTGGATAAGTCAGTTTTCTTACTAAAAAAGTATATAAAATTTACTTACTTTGAAAGTAACTGTCACCTTATGATCGAAGTACGTAACTTATCCAATCTTGACCAACAAAAAAATGTTTCTTTTATAACTTATTTACTTATGAGTTATGAGTTGAACTACTTATTAGTGAACTTTTTAAGCCTGGCCGAACATATTCTCAAGTGATATATTTGTTGACTGAAACTGGATTCCAACTGGCTGTTATTGGTTTTAAGTTTTTCAACTATATTGTATCATCTTGTGTGAAATAATATGCCACTGCATTCTCTTATCTTCTGTACCTATTTTTCTAAACAGAGTTCCTTTCAATGATTATTATTCCTTAATGAAAACCTTGATCTGTATGGAGGTCATGCAGTCCATTGATTCGCTAGCTGATTGTTTGGCTTTTTAACCGTCAATTGAATAATTTTGTTGACTTCAATTCTTCAAATCAATGTGTATCTAGTTCAATTCTTTGGAGATATCATCATAACCAATTTACTACACTTATTAACTTGAAGTGGTTTAACCAATCCATCAGTCACTCATGCCCTTTGATTTAAAGTCTGTGCAGCGTGAACTGACCTTGCTTTTAGCGTCAGTTTACTGATTGTACTAAGCCTCCTATTTTATACGTTGTTTTATTTTTTTTGTCTGATGTCATATAAACATCAAAGTTATTGAGCTATACTACCTGAACCGAAACATACTTCAACTATTTACGTATCATGCTACATTGGAGTAACACTTGCATCAGTTGCATGAAGCTTATGTTTGATATGATATGGTATGTTATTATTTTTAGATAGCATATGGCCGATTTTCAACAGTCCAGAAAGGTCGCCGAGAACTAGACCTATTTATTCGGCATCAAGATGGGAAGAAGATAGTGGATCCCGAAAAGCAAGAAGCACTATGCTCCCGTCTAAAGCTGGAAATGCTTCACCCACTACGTGTTATCACAAATCGTGGTCCAGATACAGAACTTTTGGTAGGTAATCCAGTGGAGCTCTCTGGAAGGGGTAGACCACGAGTTTTCTATGATGTTACTTTTGCCCTAAAGAGTCTCGGGATCTGCATATTCTCGGTAAGTCAAAGGCTTGTTGAGAGCCTATTAGCATGTGCAAACGGGATTCATGAATCACTTCCTCAAATCTAAATTGTAAATCATAATGAAACTAACAGTGGTAGTACTTGATTGTCTGGTTTTTATAGGCGGAAATTGGAAGGCATTCAGCAGCAGATCGGGAATGGGAGGTCTACAGATTCCTTCTAGACGAAAACTGCACATTTCAACTGTCAAATATGGTTATCAGGAATCAGATTGTAGACAAGGTTAGAAGAATACTGATGGGCTGGTAAGAGGTTCACCTGCTCATATTTACCTTTGTGGGAGCTCTAGAGGGATGAAGATGGGTACCTACTTGTACAGTTTTCTTATTTCTAGTTTGTTTTGATTTGAAGCTAAGGAATAACGTCTCTTATTAATTCAAATTTGCTGCCTGGGGCAATAAATTTGTGAAACTAATATTGTTGAGGTGATGATGTTTGCAAAGCTCAAAAAGACAGTATTGATACCCATTCGGAATTGTTTGACAAGTGCACCATATGAAATAAGTTGAACCGTCTCAGGAAATTTTGAATAAGATGATATAGGCAACCTAAATTTATCCTGATACGAATGAAATAGCGAAGTAATAGTTGAATTATCAACCTCAAATTTACCAAGAATAGGCTGCTGTTGATTTGAATTACATGACTACGAGCATGTTTGGTTGGGATTTATCTTACTAGTAAAATAAGTAGCTTTTATGGATTTGAGCGGTAATGATTTTTCCTTTGGTTGAGAACAAGATGAAACTTGACATCCATTCGAAGGAGGATGATGGGAGATTTAGATAAACTCCAGCACAAGGTAGAAGATGACATTTCTGTGTTTATTGTATTTGCTATCTGACTAGATTTGTCTTAACTTTAATTCTATATGATCAAAGACTGATATGATCACGAACACTTACAATAAAGACAAACTTAATCACACTTAATCACATATAGTCACATTTAAGAAAGATCCAAAAACATTCACTCTAATAGTGGAGGTGCGTGCCAGCATAGGTGTCCACCTTGCATTTGGCCTTTGGATGTGACCAAATGGGCTAATTATAGCTTCAAATGAGATGGGGAAGTATTTTGGGAAATACGTTTGATTATATGACTGCTACAAGAATTTTAAGAGAGATAAGGCGAAGATTGGTAGCGGAGGTGGAGATTGGAGAAGGCAAATGTGGTGGTGGCGATGGACGGGAAATGGAAAAATAGGTGATGGCAGATTTGGCAATGGAAGAAAAATTGATAGGCGTGTGATGAATACAGGGATATAATTTAGGGGGAAAGAGAGAAGATGAGGGGGGGGGGGGGGGG